AGACTGGAGATGGCAAGATCCCTGTAAACAGAGGAGACACTACGTTCATTCTCCAGTCCATTTTCCTACTACTCAGTGATAGCTCATGTTATGAAATTTATCTACTCCTTGCCAAGTTTTGATTTGTTTTTTTGTTTGTTTTTTGGGGGTTTTTTTTAGGCAGAAGACAAGGGAAGGAAGAGGGGCAATTTCTAGCTGCAGCTGTATTAAGCCACAGAGGAGATCCAATATCCCCTTTCCACCAGTGGCAGAGGCTTCAAGGAGTCCTGCAGCAGGGCATGACCCAAGTGATGCTTCCTCAGATCTGCCTTTCAGAAATTGTTCCCATAGGATCTGATTTAACTGCCACCAATGGACCAATCCTCCTTCAGCTGGCCAACTCCCTTTAACTCTTTTACACTCCTGGAGTCCATGGCTTCTTCCAGCAGCAAGTTCCACAACTCACTGATGTTATGTGAGAAAAGCTATTTTCCTTTGGTCCAAAGCTGCTGCCCAATCAACCATTTTCCTACATGATGCCATCCCTCCTCCCCTTCTTGTACCTCACCTATTTGCCTGTCCCACATCAGAGGAACTTCCCACTCCAATTAAAAATTACATTTTATGTAATATTTCTCTAGTTTTGGAAGGACACAAGCAACCCTGGTTCCCTCAGCTGTTAGCCTGCAGTTCTGCAGGGAGCAGAAATAATCAAGTCCACCCATTTAAAGGGAGACAAGAGAGGGGAGTCGGGTCAAACCCAAGTGGCAGCTGAAGCCTGGGCTTTCTACTGCAGATTCTAAAGTGCTTATGAGGGAAGTTGAGAGCAGGTTTAAGTGGCATGCTCACCTGAGAGCTCTCAGCATGCCATGATGGGAAGGCCTCACACCACTGCTCTGTGGAGACTTCATTGATGCTCCAGAGCTCACTGGGAGCTTCGGATTCTGGAGGTACCTAGTGACCAAGAGGAGACACATGAAGCACCCATATCCAGCCATGCTATGGAAGTAGCAAGGGGAGTGTTGCTCTAACACCACCAGTGACAGACTAAGACAGCTGAGTGCATGTGTTTGAAGGGTTAATTGCAGCTATTTGAGAACTATTTCTAGCTCACTTTTACTTCTGCCCTCACTTTATTCACAGTCATATTTAATCATCGGGGATTTTAACTATTGCCTTGAAATGAGATTCATGACAGATCTCTACAATGACTTTGCTCACCACATCCTCACAGTGTAAGGACCCCTACATCTCTGGCTGAAGCCAGGCAACCTAGAGCCCACGTGCACTACAAAAAGAGCAGGTACAGAAGATATTTGACTTCTGAGTCCCAGCTCTCAGCAGTTCTACTCTCATGCAGCCTCTCCCACCTGAGCCATGAAGGAGACACTGGTGACCCAAAGCTTCACACCCTCTGCTTGTCCCTCTCCCAGCATGCTGTCAGCTCCTCCCTTCCCACCAGCACACCCAGCATCCTGGTAGCAGGAGGGATGGAGGTGACATTGCTTCACCCCAGCCAATAAAGAGACTTGTACAACAAAAACACCCCAGTGACACTTTGCCAGGGCCACCTGGGAGGGGTATGAAAGCCACTAGACAAGTTCCAGCTGTTTGTAGAGTTACTCCAGCTCCTAAGCTTTGTCTGTCTGCTCACACCCTTGCTGAGCAGCCCCCAGGGACATCCCCAGGAACCCCCCCCTTGACTTACCCAGGCTTCCCCTGGCAGAAGGTGGCACAGATGTTGTCCCTCGAGTGCGAGCACTCGCAGCGGCGGAGGGATCTCTTGCGCCGCCTTGGCGGGCTTCCCCAGCCATAAGCCTGGGCGGCCTCCCAAAGCCATAGGGAGCGGTGTGTCTGTTCAAAACAGAAGAAATCAGCTCTGCAACTAACTTTTTTATTAGCCAACAAGGTTTATAACGCAGTCCTGGGAGGCAGCCAAGCCAGTGCCAGGATAATAAAAGACTCATCTATAGACATAAGGTGAAAAGGTCACTGATAGGTCTAAGCCTTTAAACTCCAGCTCCTCTCCCACCTCCTGTTTTCCCCACCCTACCCCTCCCCAGGAGATTGCTGCACTGGTTCGTGTGGAATTTTCTCTCCTCACAGCAGCCCAAGTGCCCGTGCAAGGGTCGCCACATGGGCTGGGTGAGCTGTCAGCTCACCTGGGTGGCAAATCACAGGGGGAGTGTGGCTGCCCCATTCCACCAGCCCCACCAGCAGCAAGCAGCTGGTTTCACAAGCAGAGACATAAGGGTTTTCCCTGCCCTCGTGGGTTTGAACACGCAGGACACAGTGCAAATCAAGATATCTTGGGGCCATAACAGGTTCTTCTGATCACGGCATGCTTTCAGAGCTGTTAGCACATTCCCACTCCATCTTTGATCGCAATCTACTCTCCCAGAGGGTTTAGGATTGGCAGTAACTGCAACTATTCTCCGAGCAAGCAGCGAGTTGTAATTGCACATTAGCAAGCATGATTATAACCACACCTGAGTACATGTGTTTTACTACAGTGTGATGGCCATTGGTCTGAAGCCGCTCGGAAAGCTGCTCTAGCATTCCTGAGGGCAGGACTTGGCAGCCACGGCACTTGAGTGCCAGCCCACCACTGTCTCGTTAACAATACTGGCAGCCAGCAGTTGGGGTTACAGTTTGCGAGCAGGTAGAGTAACTTTCTGACTTGCAGCTACAACATCTTGGCGTTGCTTTCAACTTGCAGAGGCACAAATCTCCAAAAAAAAATGAGCCCATGAGGAGGCAGCACCCTGTGCTTTCACCCCCTCCCCTATGGGTTATACTGAAACTCCTGAGCAGAAGCACAGCTCGTCCATTTCTAGATGTTGGAAAGGATGGGACTTGCAATGTTCTCCTGAAGCAGGTGCTACAAGAGCCTCACAGCACTGGGACCCCATCCTTGATCACAAAGTACAGTCACCTACTCATCACCAGAGCCACTCCCCCCCCAGAAAGCTGCGTCCACACTTACCCAGGTGTGTTGACCCAGATGATGTCCAGGTGACAGAAGTAAATGCATTCCTTATCCAGCCAGCTGTTGCAGGAACATCTCTTGGTCCTCGGGTGCACAGGGCTGGCCAGGTGGGACTCCAATGGAGGATGGCCCATACCTGTGGCAGAAGGAGTGAGGGATGAGTAGCAGGCTCCATGGTGTGTTGGTCAGTTTGTCACCTCTGTGGTTACACTTCCACTGAGGAACGCAGCCGTTTCAAGACGCGGGCAGGTTTATGGAGGTGCAGCCGGTCATCAAGGCTCATCAAGGATTTTCATGACCCTGGCAGCTCCAGAACTTGCCCCCAGAGCAAAGCCACCATGCAATGCCACCCACCCCACAGCCACCACCGGGCAGACCCCGGGCACCCTCCGGCAACCCACACAGCCCCAATCCCCGAGCCAAGGGGGCACAGACGGGCTCCCCCTCCAGAGCAGAGACCCCCGGGGCAGCGAGCCCCCCTCCAGCCCGGGGCTCACCATCTTCCAGGAGGGCACAGAGGGTGAGCGCCAGCAGCAGAGCCCCGGCGGGATGGCTGGGCATGGCCGTGGGTCTGGAGCGAGTGAGAGGCTTTTTGG